ACAGTCCAGGCCCCACCAGACAGTCAGCCCCCACCCCCCGGGTCCCCATCCCCAGACGGCCAGCGGGGAACGGGGGAGTAAAAAAAATAAAATAAAATAAAAGAAGACCCCGACATACACACACCGCCACCCTCAGATGTACTGTTGATGTGTGATGTACTATAATGCAATTAAAATGGGGAAGAAGACAGGGCAGAGGCCAGCACTCTGCCAGTTTCCCCTCCACCCCAGCTCCAACCCCACCCTAAGTGTCTAAGGAAAATAGTGTGAGTGGGCACAGGCATCCGTGGCGAGACTGTCCCATCCCGCCCCTGGCATGGTACCTCCATACAGAGGATGGTTCAGTTTTGTCCACAGTCTCTCCTGTGTGAGAAACATTCTGTGGTTGCCTTAAAGCCATTAAAAGCTGTCAAAATATGCAGTTTTTCATTGTTGATAAGAATTTTTTATGCTTCTTAAATAATTCCTACATTGTAAAATTATTATTTGGGGGTTAGTAAAGTTTAAATTCAGAGTTTTTGTAAAATTTGCTGTAGAAAATGGCAAAAATTCATTGCTTTTGTTCATGACTAAATTCTGCAATGAGTTACAGAAATTCTTGTTCGAGTTCAGAATATCTCACAGCTCATGGGAACATAAATGACTCTGCTTCTACTACTTCACGTTACTTCAGTCTCTGATTGCATTGTTCTGCTTCTGACTCTGTTTACATCTGAGATTATTTTACTAACTCGATGCTCGTAGTGTACTGAGACTGTCTGATGTGCACTCATCTATGTTTGAATGTAAACAAACGACTCGTTTTGTTGGCAACAAAACCTGACTGCTGATTTTGCTGAATAATTAAAAATGATGCAGTGAACTTTTTGTAGGTGTTGATGCCAATTTAGTGCTTATTTTTATCGTGCTGATTATGCACGAGTTTGAATCAAAAGCATCGACTATTTGTGTGTTTTGACAGCTATTAACATTTTTTACTTATTTTATTGCTGACAAGACTAATTTTTGCTTCTAATTTATACCAAGTATTGATATTTTTAACGTTTTTTAGTACACCAAAAAAATCTATCTATCCATTCCTGTCTACTTATGAATTTACTGCAATAATTTATTATTGATGATTATCACTAGGGCTGCAACTAACGATTATTATAATAATTGATTAATTGTTGGATTCGATATTTTTCGAATTTTCAATCAATGAATAGGAAGACAAAAGAAAAACCTTTTTAATTTGGACTGACATAGTAAATAGCACAAAAAACAAGTTGCTGTTTAAGAATTCTGTTACTATAATGTTAAATTGTAATGCATAATTAAGTTTATGCAAATTTGTCAGATACCTTCAATAAAAAAATGCATGTACACAAACATATACACAAATGTGTGCTGTATCCTTTACAGTCTCTTCATATTTTCTCTCCATGAGTTTTGTAAATGTTTCCTTGGGTGAAGAGTGTAAGCTAAAATAAAAGTGTGAAATATTATAGTGAAGTCTTTATCTTTGACCACGGACAGTCTCGTGTCAGTAACGATCATGTTGAGAATTCAGTTAGGACAACTTCTTATTACAATAATTCAATAAATGCCTTGTTTTATTTCCAGTATTAGGTTAAGGGAAGTGTCTTCACTCAGACATTGTCAGCAAATTAAAACTTAAAGTTTAATCATTTAATAAATACCATCATAAGTGGCCTGACACAACAAATCGATAATGAAATTTGTTGCCAACACTTTTAATAATATATTTCTATCGATTAGTTGTTGCAACCCTAATTATCATGAGGAGTCCTTATTATTATTAAGATTTAATCAGGCAGTCAAATATTAACATAAACGTAGATTTATTACTGTTACAATTGAATGTGAGTAGCTCAAGTTTTTTTTGTTTACTTTTTAATGCTGCTATTTTGTGCATAACATTTTTATTTTCATCCATATATAATAAACATGCATTTGTTTCCCATCGTTGGGCAACAAATACAGAATAAAAAATCGGGCTCAGATTCTTCTGAGGAAACCTAGTCTATAGACTGTGACTTTAAAAAGTCCTAAATAGTTGTTCAAAGAAAAGGCAGTCTTACCTTTTTGCACTACAAGTGAACAACTTTTTGCATGTCCTTGTAGACGGAATAAATCATAAATTAGTGGCAGAAAATCCCGCTGAAAGAAAAGATATTCTAGCCTTGGTCATATCTCCTTGCATTGTGACTTATTATTTAAAAATCTTTTTAACAACACATTTAATTCAAATATTCATGCAGCTTACAGTTTTTGATCTGATAAGCTGTAAATTACATATTTTGTATAAACAGTATTTGTGGCTCATCATGGAATATTATTTAGTTTTCCGCTAACCGAGGCAATAGAAAACAGTGACTGTTGCTAATTTCATGTAGTACATTAGCTGCTGGTCTGAGCTTATGAGGGTTATAGAGCTTATGATGAAGACAGAGGCTTAATCTTTTTAACTTGATTGAGATCGACTCAGTGTTTCTCAAATGTGTCGATTCATGTCTCAACTCTAAACATCAGACAGTAAATAAGCTGTGAATAGTCAGATTTCAAACATGGCAGTCTTGTTTAAGCTCATCTGAGTCAGAAATTACGGCTTTGTTTTCTTTGTCCATCCCTCCCAGGTATCATCACCACAGGCTCTACCATGAGGGAGCACCAGTACTTTGTATCAGCGTACCGGGTTCTGTACAGCAACAATGGCAAACAGTGGAGCGCCTACAGTGAAGCCAATTCTATACAAGACAAGGTGAAGTCAGTAAACCTTGTTAATTTGTCCTAAATGATAACAAAATTGCCACTCAAAAAGGGTGCACTGAGAGATACTTTCTTGGATCATCTCCCAAGTATTTAGTGGCAGGAAATGCGAGCAGGAAGTGGTTTGAGTTGAGTGCTGTTGTAGGTGAGGTGGAGGGTATGGACTGAGTAATCAGCTGTTATCCCTGGCCTTCAGTTCAGTTTAAATCTCTGCTACAAGTAAGAGCATTTGCTCTCCTTTTATGGTAGGTTTTCCAAGGAAACGTCAACTACCTGCACGAGGTGAGGAATAACTTCATTCCCCCGGTCGAAGCCCGTTTTGTGCGGATCAACCCCACCTCATGGCACCAGAGGATCGCGCTCAAGCTGGAGCTGCTCGGCTGCCAAGGTCCTGCAGGTTGATGATGTTGGTTCATTTGCAAGTAACGATGATTTAAGAGTCAAAGCCAAATGTTTCTTTTTTTTTTCCTCCGACAGTGAGGTGGACAAAGACGAGGTTGTTCACCCCTTCTCGTAACTCTCCACATCCTGCGAGTACAAAATGCCCACCTCACGCTGGCCAGACCACACACACGCCAGACATCAGGAACACCACCATGCCTCCTCATGTTGGCAAAGGTAAGACAAAACTCATTGATTTCATCCCTTTATGATCGTCACATGATGATAATTTTTTAAGCATTTTTGCTCTTAGATTTGGTGTTGATAGCCATTCTGGTCCCTGTGTTGGTCATGCTCCTGACAGCTCTGATCCTGACTGCAGCTTGTGCTTGCCACTGGAGGAACAAGTGCGAATCACTTTCATATGCCATTATCTGAAGCTTCACGTATCTCTTTAATGACCTTTACCTCTCCTCCTCATAGGAAAAAGAGCTCTGAGGGAACATTCGATCTTCCTCAATGGGATCGCACAGGTACGTCATCGTTCTGCATGGCCGCACTTTTGTGGTGGCTCTGTGTGCCATGTTGTTTTTGTGCTGCAGACTGGTGGAAAAGCATGAAGCAGCTGCTGCCCTCCAGGATGATGGAGATGGAGGATTCGATACGGTACAGCACCAGTGAGGTGGGTCGACTCTCTGGGAGAAGTGCTGTACCAAGACTGCACGCTGAGCCTGCAGGTAGGTGGGATTTCATGTGCTGTCATGTTGAACTAAAACTGTCAGCAGTGTGTTTAAAATGTAAAGCTGCCTCCTGCTGGTCAGACGTTTTGTTGCAACATTAATCAATAAAAAAGATGCTGTTATTTTTCTTTCTCATCTGTTGCACATCAAGAACACTGATCAGAGATCTGTGAATCTGTCTTCATCCCATACAACTAAAGGTAGTTGAACACTTAACTAAGTGTACAATAAATGAGTTGAAACCAAGTTTAATATATTTTGCTTTAAAGGGGAAACTTAGTTGTTATAAACCTAATATTATGTGTTTGATGTTTACTCATTATTACTGTGCAGAAACAACAGAAAATGTCACACCTTTAATATTTAAACTGCAATTTTTGAAGTGACGAACTACACAACAGCGCTTTTTCCGAAACTCGAGCTTTGTGTGCATCTTTTTGATGAAAAAGCTTAAATATTTTCTCATCATCTGTGTGCTGTAAACACATCTATGTAAACTTAGCACAAAAGTAAGCAAACTTCCCAAATCTCCTCTGCCAAACAGCTTATTTTGTTTTTGCTATCAACACTTGTTTTTAGCTTCTGGTACCCCCAGGTGCTGCCAATCAGTTGCCCCAGGGCTCTAGACTAACTTTTTGCACTGGTTGCACCGGTGCGCCTAACATTTTTTCTTAGGTGCACCAGCACTACAGTTAGGTGCACAGACATTTTCAACCACGTCGCATTTAACATCAGAGTTTTATGGGTTAATTTAAAAAATAAAACATTGTTCATTAAGGCAATATTAACACGAAAATGTTCTATAAAAATTCTAAGTGCAAATGTTTAAGGGCTGAACATCTTATAAACATCTTAAGCATTTCATGGCTTCATTTCTTTTAGACATGTCCCTCAGATGGACAACTCCTGTAGTTTGGCCCTATGGATCTTTGGCCTTGGATAAACCAGAATGATGAACAGAGAATAATGATTAATATCAGAAATATTACTGATATTTATTAAAAGGTTGTGCAGATTTAAAAATATATATAACAGAACACATAAAAGACTGCAGTTTCATTAGCACTTGTTGAATCATATTATCTCATTTCACTTAAATATCTAAAATGTCTAGTCTGAGACCCAGAAGAACCAATTTCAGATACTTGGGAATGTAACTGGTGAAGTCGATTAAGTGCAGAAGCGGCCTGCCATACACGTGAGCTTCCTCGTCCTGCTGAAATGATCTGCTAAGCTCAAAGAGTAGACCCCGACTGCTAGATGGACTTAAGAGCGAGCAACCGTCTACATCTTCCTTCCATCTTCACAGTTAACAAGAAAAAAATGTTTTTCAGACTCCGATTTGAAAAAAAGAAAAAAAAAACACAACTGTTTCGCTATGCATGTGCGCGCCGCTTATGCGTGTTTTTTGCTTCATGGTGGGGACAATTATTGACCATTTCCCTGGTACACACAGCCTGGTGAGGTTAGGGTTTGGGTCAGGTGTGTAGTCTACCTGGGAGGTTATGGTTGGCTATAGAATTGACGGGGAAATGAATGGAAGCCAATGCAAAGTCCCCGTGAGGATAGAACAACAAACGTGTGTGCGCACGGGAGACGTGGAGCGGAGCCCGCGAGCAGAGCGCTGTGTTATTGGGGGACACGGAGACTGTATCAGCAGGCGACTGTTATGGTTGATACTGCTATATTCATTTTTTATAGAACTTGAAACTTTTAGTTTCAGCGGGCGACCGCTCCCCCAGTTCGCACCAGTGCGACCGCACAATTTTTTTAGTCGCACTATTAGGACATCAGGTCGCATTTGCGACCAAATTGGTCGCACTCTAGAGCAGTGGTTCCCAAACTTTTTATCTTCTGACCCACAAAACATTCATGGCAAAAACTTGTGACCCCAAATATAACTGGTCTGAGTACACGAACTTCATTAATAACCCTAAAATCGCAGGCTTTTTGACCATCTAAACAGCTTATACACAAATATAAATACTTATTTTTACTTATTTTGTGTTTTTGTAATAAATAAAGGGAAAGRAGTACACCAGCAATTATTTTATTACCCTTTAAATTGATTTCTGGAGATTATCCAAGGTGCTTCATGACCCATAATTGGGTCCCAAYCCCAACTTTGGGAACCAAAGTGCAGTGTTTCCCAAACTTTTCAGCTTTTGACCCATAAAATAACAGTAGCAGAGACCTGTGCCCCCAACTATTTTTGGATGATAAACATTTGTATCAGGTCAACAAAACATGGGCATAGTAACAATATTTTTATACTACATTTATCCATTTTAAATATTCTAACCTCACTCCTTTGTAACAACTAAGGCAAAAATGTAATTAATTCAGAAAATATTTTCAGGACCCCACCTTGATGTTTCGGGACCCCACTTTGGGTCCCGACCCCAACTTTGGGAAACACTGCTCTAGAGCCCTGTGCCCGCTATAAGATTTATTGTCAAGAAACATTGTTGCAGCAAAGAAATAAATCCACCAAATACAGATTTCATTGCATTTATGCTACGTGTACAGTATATTGTTCTTGTACAGTTTTGAAATGTTTTTAAAACAGCTGGACACCCAGCTACTTGTTTTATAAAAACATADATTTACGTGACTCACCTGCAATTATGGTAATAAATTTACCCAGACGTGAATATTTAATTGCCCAACTACATCCTAGTTCTCAGTTTGAAACCTTCTGGAGCTCTTCTGTGTGACTCTAGGTGTGACAGAGTGTGGCTGGTTTGTCTCTTTTGTGTCCCTGATGGAGACTGGAGACCTGTCCAGGTGTCCCCTGCCTTCACTCAAAGACAGGTTCCAGCCCCACCCTGACCCTGATTAGGAACAAGGACAGGAGGAGGATTTTTCTTTATAGCAGGAAACAGACATTTAATTATAAAACATGATTTATTTTATGTTAATCTGAGTCATTTTAGTGTTGTTTGTAAATATATTTGACCATTTTGTAGGAATGAACACGCTTGTAATGTTTGTTCAAAATAAACCTGCTTCTTATGACTTCTTTAACATGTTTTGAATAAAATATCATTAAAAACCTCAAATCATGTCCTTTCTCAAGGAATCATTAGAACTCTAGAAGAACTTTAACTCAGCAGACGATTTTTTTAACTGTGGTGGTGACCTCTCATGTGGGGGTTTGACAAAATCTGGTTGTCCTCAAATCATTTTGGTTGTCCAAAAAATATCTCAATAAAAATATAATTTAATAAGTAGGCTATATTGTTCTGTATACAAAGTGTAATATATACAAATGTTCTCAGTCAGCAGGTTGACAGTTTTAGGAGCTGCTTGAGGAGAAATTCCTCATCCTCTTTGAAATAGAGATCAAAAATCTACATCCAACATCCATAAGATTTCTGCTTTCAGGTCAAACATTTTCATTTAAATAGGAGTGTACTGTGTACATGACCTTATTAAAAGTTACAGTTTAGTGTTCTTAGGACTGAAGACTTTATGAGGAAAGAAGTTTTTAAACATCTTTTCTATCATTTTAGTGTTTTAAACTGAGGYGCTTTGATATATTTATTTAAAATAAATTATAGCAGAGGAAGTTCTCTGCACAGAAAAAAATATTTTTACTGTTTTTTTAAATCAAAATGACAAGTTTCTCCAGTAAAATTATTGTGTAATTTAAAGGCATTGAAACGCGTGGTTAAATTTAGAAGGTATTATGATTAACTGCAAGCATCTGAAGCTGACTCAGAGAACTCTGTGATTTTAGAAAAAATAAAAGTCAAATGTAGACACGTCTTTAAAAGACCCCCTCCCCCTCCCCACCCCGCGCAGCTGCGGTCAGCGCACCTCCTCTCCACCTGCGTGATTTAATACTGATTTTTTTTTTTGCGCAAATTGCAGATTTTTGATGCTCATTAAACACGTAACCGTCTGAAGGGGTTGACATGTATGAACTTTAAGTCCCGGGCTGGTCAGAGCTGAGCTGCAGACTGACAGCTTCAGCTGCTTTAAGTCGCTGCACCTCGCTTTAAAACCAGTCAGTTGATCCGTTGCGGTTTTGTTGCGCTCGTGACGTGAACACACGGGGAAATGCTGCGAAGTGCTTTTAGAAATATAATACTTATAAAATATGACGTAATCCTCGGTGGAAAATAGTCCAGGAAACACGGGAGGTGTTCCCCTCTGAGTGAAGCTGACCCCCCCACCCACAGAGAAAGACAAAAAGGCAGTAACTATTGATAAGGTAGTAACCATGCTGTGGCTTCACCTGTCGCATTTTCTTTTAAAGAAAGAAAAAGTAGCTTGCAAAGTTGTCGCATCGGTGCTACATGATTAAAAGCAGAGTTTTCATTGCCGTTTAATCTTACACACACGTCTTCCTATCTTTGTGAGGACCACACACAGAGCTCAGTCTCACTCTGCCACCGTCTTTTCCCCCAAGTTTGGTGAGAGGTGGATATGCAGGGTCACAAAAAATAGCTCTCGACTTGATCTGGCCTTAATTAAACAAAAATGACTACATGCCGTGAAATTCTTAAAGGGGCGGGCCGTCTTGTTGGGGGCCCGCCTGTGTAATGGTAGGGGAAACACTGCCATGTTCTTCCTAAATTCATCATTTTCTTTTACATGTACCAGTGACATGCTTAGGGCTATTATATTCATTTTTTAGTGTTAAAGATGTTTAAATATAAGAACTAAATTAGCAGAAACACGATTTCAAAGACCATTTTGTTGACTCTTGCTTTTTCTCTTCCGTCTGTTCTGGTTTCAGCAGTTGTAGCTCTGCCTCCTGGCTTAACAGAAACAAACTGTTTTCTCACTTCCAAATGAGAGAAATGTTTTATCTGTGATCTGTGAAGCATTTGAGTTGTGTTGACTTACTTACATTACACATTTAGGTTTGATGTCTGTGTTGAAGTTGAGTTATTGACTAATATGAATCTGACAAACCATGTTTGAGAGGTCTGAAGCAGGGGGAAAAGAGGGGAACTCAACACTAGAGGGGGCTTATTCAAAGGAAGTGTTGTTGCATTCTGCACTGAATATCACATGGTAGACTGAATAATATTAGTGGCTTACTGTTAGCTTCCCCTAAAATTATCAATATGGAGCTTTTTATCATTAGCTGAGCTGAATTGTGTAGCGGGTTAGGTTAGTGAAGCTTATATGGTTTAAGGTTCTTAAAACAAAACAAAACCTAAGCTCTAAACTGTAAGATTAGCCATACTGTATTTTTTTTAAAAATGGCTTAGATTATTGATGTTGTTTTGTTTTTGTTTGCAGAGTATGCTCAGCCACTGGTGAGTGGCGTGACCACACTGGGTGCGCGGTCTACCTTTAAACCAGATGAGGGTCCCGACCCAGGGTACTCCGATCCAAACTTGTATGATGCCCCCGTCTCATCAGATGTGTACCACTCTTACGCAGAGCCGCTGCCAGCTTCAGGATCTGAATACGCCACTCCCATCGTGGTTGATATGGGCTGCCACCCATCAGGGGGGTCTGCTTTGAACCAGCCCTGCACAGTCCGCAGCTTCATGGGGTCCGGGCCAACCTCACTGCTCACGCGGACAGACAGTGGTCAGTCGGAGGGGTCGGCGTACGACACACCTAAAAATGCCAACGAGCAGACCACGCCCACTGAGGATCTGACCTATCAGGTGCCTCAGAAAAGCAATCATAAGAGCTGAGAAGTCTGGATGCTTGTGGCTTTAATCATCACAGCCCTGGATTGGAGTCTTGAATGAAAACTACCTTAGCTTCACCTGGAGATGTCTGTATTGACTGAATGCTTCTGCAAGGCCACAAACTGTTTTACAGTCCTATCACTGAAACAACAATGAATGTCTTAGTGCCGGGAACGAGGCGGAGAGGGAAAAAAGGAGAAACCTGACTACTATTTGAGAAAGATTTCTGTGATTTTTGTCACGATCACATCTTAAAACTGTGATTTCATCCTCTCATTTTTTATCCCGATGCTAAACCATAGCAAGTATTTTCTTTCATCAAATACCTACGTTTCATTAAAAACTCCCTCTTTTAAGCTCTTCCCACGGTACGTCATCTTACATTGTTTAAAAGCATGACTTGAATGTTTTTTTTATAGTTATTTTAATTCCATCACTGCAACATGCAACTGCACATTAGGTCAAATGTCAAAATATTTATTTGTATTTCACATCCTGCTGATAAATGAGCGACCCAATCACTTTCCTCACCGTTAGTGGATCAATGATTGGAGGCACGAGAGTCCATCCGGTGAACTTTCCGGAGAGAAAAGACGTTTTTAAAGATTCAGAGACCAAATGTTGCCTTTTCTGTTTCGATCCTCAACAGACCCAAGTTTGACAATCGGGCCAAATAAGCAATGAAATGAACAGTCTTAATTTAGGAAGAACAATCTTTTGCGTGACAGTAGAAATGTTGCAGCTGTGATCGTTCTGATTATCTTGTTCCTTCCTTGTATCCACGTGCATCTGTGTCTGTATGTGTGTTGAGCTGTTTTTAAATTTTCTGTGTGTGTTTTGACTGTTTGCTGTGGAGGATCGTTGTCTGTCGCACCAGTAAACTGCATTTCCTCTCCTGTATGCCCTGTGGTACTGATCTGACCAAACGCGGGGTGGTAGGAGTGCAGATGGGTGGGCAAACGGAGATCAAGCTGCTTTTAATATTAACAAAACAGCAACCAAAGCTGTTTTTTGTTTGTTTGTTTGTTTGTTTGCAGACAGCTGTGCCACCATCATGCCTGATGTTCAGTAACCGATGAGACTGATGCACAGAGTTTGGATGCTCCCTGGTTGCAAAATGTGTGCTGCTCTCACTGATTATAAACAGAATAAAAAGAAGTTTTATTATTATTTATTTAAGCTTTTTATTTAACAGCAACAGTATAAAATCAGGTAAGAAAGTTGATACATTTTCTTTATTACAATGATAAAAATAAATGGATGGTACACATTAAAAAACTTTAGATAATGAACAAAGTGGTAGTTTAGATCTTTAAAAGTGGGTTTTTATGAGAGGTTATGAACATTTAATATCTTACCTGTTGATTGCTCTTCAACAACCTCAGTTTCCAGAAGCAGAGTTTAAATCTGACCATACTAAAGCAGATTGCTACCAAATTAAAACAACTGTTTATGAATCCTAACCTTGCTGTTTCACGTTAGTTATTACCACAGGGATTTTGTTTGTCCTGCCTTAAGTGCTATAGCTTAGAGGCCCCAAACAGCATTAGCTTCTGCCCCCCCTTCAAACACACTAACAGTGCTACAAAATATTTAAAGAGGTATTAGCTTTTAGAAAGATTACCACTTCTATTCACAAATCAATAATTATAATTGTTTGGCATAAGAATTTTTAAAGAATGTTTTAAACAAAAGAACAGAACACAATAACCCAACCCCCTCTTAAATAACATTTCAATACATTATAAATTATATTTTGAAATGATTGAAAAACAGATTCAGTTTTAAAATGATTTAAACATTTAATTTTTATTTTTTATTTGCATTTTCCCCTCATCTTCTCTCCAGCTTTCTGAGTCCTACTCTCCCTGGTGGCACCGCTCTGAAAAACTGCTAACTGCTAAAAAAAATATTGCTAACTGATGCTGCAGTTTGCTTTGCTTTTGGAATTGTTTGAAGAAAGCAATCCACTTTTGTCCTGGCCCCACTCAGACTAGCCTGGTCATCCAGTCAGAAACAAATCATAAAAATAAGAAATTCAAAGAGTTAGCTACAACAGGTAATAATTAAGCAGATTCTTATAAAAACAAACAAAAACATAAATTATCCTTTTAAAACTTTCTGCCTGCGCTGCAAAATTTTACACAACATACAAAGCACTTTTATTAGGAAAAAACAAAGTTAGTTTTTTTTTTCATATTTGTGAATAGAAAGGGAGCCAAAACAAAACCTAAATTCTTCATCTAATAAAACATTAAAGTGCCTTTGCTGGATTTACAGCTGTTTCCCAATTAAAAACAATAATTACTGTGTACTACATGTTGTTCTTAACATTTCAGCATATAAAAGGAAAAAAATCCACTTTTTTTTTCTATTGAACAAGCCAACATTGGATGATTTAATATACACAAAAATAAGAGAAATGGAAAAAAAGTGACAAGCAGTGCTGCTGCAGATTACTGAGCTCTTCTACAGAACAGTGAAGAGTTTTTCAGCACTCGCTGCTTTAAATAAATTTTCTTTAAAATGTGCAATGTCATGTAAAATCAACTTTCTTGAGTTTTATATCATGCTATAATGTTATCCTCTCATTAAAAACATGCCCAGAGTCTTGCTTTGACTCATTCGTGCATGTTTGATAAATCCTGTAGTGTGCTGAGGCAGCAGGCAGGGGAGCAAAAACGACTGGTTGGGACTAGAACCGCCTTATGGGGTCAGGTCCTCCTCTGGGCTGTCTCTCTGAACCAAGCTTTCTCATCACAGAGCACGCGCACACACACACACACACACACACACACACACACACACACACAC